GTGTGTGTGTGTATGTGTGTGTGTGTGTGTGCGTGTGTGTGTGTGTGTGTGTGTGTTATATGCTGTAGGTGATGTTACCTGGAACTGAGCGCTGATGCTGGGGGGTTTCTTCTTCTTGTGAACGTGCAGCAGAGACTTGGTGGTGCGGTCGTGCAGCGTCAGGCTCACGATGTACTTCAGAGACCGAGAGTCCAGCAAACTCTGAACAGCAGGGATACAGGAAATTATTATTCATTTATACTCCATCAAATATGACACTTGTTTTCTCAAATTCTTATTTGTTCCGTCATGAAAATGTGCAACTTGCATTCTATAATCATGATCACGGCTTCAACAAACAATTACTTTCTCCATGATATTATATCTGGTGATATTTTCTATAAGATGTAATTTAAAAAAAGCTAAAAATGTCCATCCAATCCAAAGTGATGTCTTTTAATGTCATGTTTCAGTCCAAAACCCAACAATATTCTCTTTAATATGATATCAAAACAGCAAAAAGCAGGAAATCTGTATATTTGAGGGGCTGAGAACAGCATTTCATTACATTTTTGCGTGAAAAACTACTTAAATGACAAATAAAAAAATCGTAATAGTTGCCGATTGTCTTCCTGTTGATGGACTCATTGTTGCAGCAAAATGTCCTCTCCATTAAAAAGGCAGCTCATTGTGGAATAGCCTCCCAACTGAGATACGGGATTGTCCCACTCTCAATGTCAACTCAAAGAATGGTTGAGAAACAAACGGACGTGCAATCACCGCTAAATGCACTTTAACACAGTCCGCACACTTTCAAGTTTGGTCTGCTGCAAGCGGGCGGCAGGAGCGGGGCTGTCGGCATCAGCAGTGTGCTTGGATTGTATATATGGTATTTTAAACTCGCGCTCTGAAACTACGGGGCGGGCAAGGACAAAAAATGCACATGCGTTAATCGCGTTAAAAGAATTAGTGGCGTTAATTTTTTTTCACCGCTAAATGCACTTTAACACAGTCCTCTTGCACTTTACATGTCGTTGCTGCCACATTGTACTGCCATGTGGTAAATGCTTGTATGCTGCTCTTGCTATTTTTGCATATCATGTATTTATTTTTGCTATGTTTATAAATGTCATGTTCTTATATGTTGTATGTCATGGGACTACGGGTGGAAATTAGCTCAAAGCTAAAATCCGGCTCATTTACACTTGTAAGCATTATTTCGTTTTATTTAGTCCCGGTTCAAATAAATCCGATTTTAATAGGACAGCAAACATGTGAAATCCTTTCAAACCGTGTTATAAAACCCCCTGAACAAAGGCTCTCCCCTCTCTACTGGTGTTTACCTTGGGGATGACCTGCCTCTGTTTGGCGTTCTTGTTTTTCCTGTGGAAGAGAGACAGAGGGTGAGTTAGAGGGACTGGAGCGTTGGAGGCCTGAGGAGCGATGATGGAGAAGTAGTAGATGGAGCGTGTGAAGCCGGGTTAGTACGGACGGCTGACTCCTTCATGCGCTGCGATGAAATCCAGGGTCGCACCTGGAGGACGGGATGAATGACGGGCAGAGAATGAGTGAGAGGGTGAGGATGGAAAGGGAGGAAGACGATGATGAAGGAGAGGGATTTCTGCAGGAGATGAGATGACATCTAAAGAAATCAGCTCAGCAGAGACTCACCATTCAGACAGACATGCTCTCTTGCATCGCTACATAAAGAGAGCCATAACTTCATATCCTGCTTTAATCTGTTTCCATGTGAAATTCTAACATGCCGAGAGGCCGTTTGGAAATATTTTGAAAAGACTTCACATGCCAGCAGCAGTTTTCTGATGATGCTCATGCAGCAGGAATGAACGTATTTAAGGCATTTCAGCTCCATCCTTCAAATAAACTCGACAGTGTCTCCAAACAACGCCAATAATGTAACGTCTGCAGATGAAGCAGGAGAGCGTTCAGTGTTTTTATTGGATAAAAGCTCATGAGACGCTAATGATAAGAGTTGTTTAGATAAAGATACGAGAATGGGGAATGTCTCCCAAACAGCCTAATTTGGTATTGCCAACAAATGGAGGCTGTGAACTGATCTGATATCACGTTATCAAATCGTTTATCAGTTTGTTTACGCAGCAGAACAACAACAATATGAGTCACTGGCTACGTGATCCGCAACAAATCCAGAAGTGATTCCGTTCGTAGCTAAAATGTGAGCCATCTCGCTTCCTTTCATCTCTGTTGCGTCTGTCCCTATTTTTTGTTATAACTGACTAGATATTGAAAGACCATCATTTTCTGAAGGTATTCATGTATTATCTAATATACATATATGAAACAAATATGGAAATTATATTACGTGTTACAGTAGTATACAGCTAATACAACAATAATAGGTATTTTAAGGGCTGTACGATTTGGAACTAAGTAATAGATAATATTTTGAATTCTATTGGAACTACAATATGGTTCTTAATTTGCAGCAAATTATTATTTTTGAAACATTATTCACAATATATATGAAATATTTTAAAAAGACGTGGTGTGGTTACTTTTGACGATCTCTACCAAATAGATTATGCTTTTTTAACTTTGCAAAATAGGATTTATAGACCGGAACATATCTGGAGCACCCAAAAGGTTTCAGATATTTTCACATATTTAGCCTTTTCCAATAATGCTATATGGATATTGCACCAGTCCATATGGCTGAATCCATACATTTAAAGTGGACCTATCATGCTATATATGAATAATATAGTGTAGGACCATACCTATATAAGGCATATTTATACTTTTTATTTTTCAAAATACCAAACAGATCATGCATTTTAGCCATTCCTCATTTCGCTCAATTTAACACTGTCTTTGCATGGGCTGATTCTGTGAGAACAGCACCATCTACAGGCCTGGCATATGTACTACAGCGTCTCCAGCGCTTTCAAACGGCAATGTCCGTGGCTGTCTCCTCCTGATTGGTGGAGTTGGCCCAATAGCCGTAGCGCCACTTCTGTGACGTCATAGAAGTGTTCAAATCTGGATCAGTCTGTATCAGATCCGTTGCAGACCCTTTTTAAGAGATTTGGGTATGGAGGAAAATAGAGAGGGTTGTGTTTTCTGACACTTGGTGAGTTCCCTGGAACACCGGGGACACATATTCATTTATCAAAGACGCACAAAAGTGTATTTTGCATGATAGGTCCCCTTTAAGTTAGTTCTGCAGCATTATATATATATTCATACTTTAGTTTTTAAGTATAAAATCTGTACTCGGTATTAGATGAAACCCAAGTTCAGATATCGGTAAAGAAAAACTGGTGTTGGGATATCTTTAGTTGATGATCCATTGAGAAAGGTGGCTAAACATGTGACAGCTAAGACTAGTTATGGCTGGTTAGTGAGTGAAAATAAGCGGTGAACATTCTCCATGTTTTTTGGGGGGAATTCTGGAGCGTAACTGAGGCCAGGTCTGTCTGCAGACTCACTGGAGGAGGTGTCGGGGGAAGCGGAGCCGACCCCAGGACTGCAGCAGTTTACGAGGGTCGTCTCCATCCAGCTGCAAGCTCTTAATGGAGCTGATGATCTCTGCATGCATGTCTCTGATCACACACACACACACACACCCAGTGAGGAGAGGGAGGGACCGACAAAAAGAGGAAGGACACTGCAGCAGATTGAACACCACGGTTAGGACACCTTAGGAGAAAACACCACAGATACCAAACACAGAACACACACTGCAGGAAGCTGGGTCTTAGGAGGAACATCATGCTCTGCTCATCCGTGAACAATGAACCACAGAGTGTTTTCTCCCATACTTCGTGTTTATGTACACAGGAGCCACAAGAAGACACACTCCACCACCCAACCATGCTGCCATATCTTTGATAAGACTGAACAAAGATAAGGGCTGTACCGAATACTTCAAAACAGAAGTACAATCGAAATGTCCTCCATCCGGATCTGATAATGTGAGAGGCATTTGGTTTTTGTTTTAAAAATATGTAACCAATTATCTTCACATTGACTTAAGCAATACTTGAGATATTTTCGCATTTTTTAGACTTTTCAAAAATAGTTTTAAGACATCTATTACCAATTAAAGGCTTTTTTTTTAGCTTAATGAATTCAATGCCTTTTGACATTTTGAAGGACACTATGTTCTTTCATGATGATAGTGTAGTGAATCTGTTTTGCATCTGTTTTAACGGGGCAATAAAGCAGCCATCTAACAGCATCATGCATTCAATTTATATAACCATAACACACAAATATGTAACGGAGCGTCCACACGGCGGCGTGCGTTGAAGCTTGCCGGTGGGCGTGTCTGAAGCTCGACCAACAACCAATCACATTAATCTCCCGCCCCGGAAACACAAGCACGCGGTTTGATTGGCTAGAGCTTGTACTGATATGTGATTTGATTGGCTGACGCTTCCGTCGAAGCTTGAAGAGTTGAACTTTTCTCAACTTTTGAAGCGAGCCACGGAGACAAAGCGCCGCGACAGAACCTCAATGCAGTTCGGCAAAGCGTGACGTCACCCCCAAGTGAAAGTGAAGCTTCAACGCACGCCGCCGTGTGGACGGGCCCTAATACCAAATATACATGTAGATATTTTTGCCAGGTTGATGCAACCATAAATATATTCAGACAACACTTTCCAGGCTTCATTTGAAAATTAAGAAAAAAAGAATCTTCAATTGTTTTTAATAAAGATATTCGGTACAGCCCTAAAACACACACACACACACGAATGGATTGGAGCATGTAGGGGTCTTTAACCCCCTATCTCCCTGCCTCTGTGGTAGTACATGCAGATTTGAGGCTCAGTGTGGTCG